TCTTCGTGCTGCCAGTCCTACTGTCACGCGTCTCCTTGCTACTGCCGTCACTGACCCTTCTTTCGAGTCTTCCGCTGCGTCTGCCCTTGTCACTGAGCTCGTCGACTTTGCTGCGCGCTGTCGTCTAGACTACGCTGCTAGTCTTGTCGCTGAGTCTGAGTCTGCCTGTCCTCCGTCCGTCGGGGGTGAGTGTGCCCTTGGCACGGACGTCCTTGAGGATAGGCAGGAGGAGTTCTAGTGTCTGGCCGCCGCTTCACCTCATCTCGCGTCTGAACTGCTCGCCCCTGAGGGAGACCCGGATGCACTAGACATCCCGACTCCGCGCTCTTACGCTGAGGCGATAGAGGGTCCCTACTCCTCTCAGTGGCAGGCAGCTATGGATGCAGAGATGGCTTCCTGGAGGTCCACAGGCACCTACGTTGACGCTGTTCCCCCTCCTGGGGCGAACATAGTCAGTGGCATGTGGATCTTCAGGGTGAAGCGGCCGCCGGGTTCTCCGCCTGTCTTCAAGGCGCGTTACGTGGCTCGTGGCTTCAGTCAGCGGCAGGGAGTTGACTACTTTCAGACCTTCTCTCCCACCCCGAAGATGACCACTCTTCGGGTACTGCTGCACGTTGCTGCTCACCGTGACTACGTGCTGCACTCTCTCGACTTCAGCACTGCTTTCTTGCAGGGCAGCCTGCACGAGGAGATCTGGCTACGTCGCCCACCTGGCTTCACTGGGTCTTTCCCTCCTGGCACCCAGTGGAGTCTCCGGCGTCCAGTCTACGGTCTCCGCCAGGCGCCACGTGAGTGGCACGACACACTGAGGACTACGCTGGCAGCACTTGGGTTTGCTCCTTCTACTGCCGACCCATCGCTGTTTCTGCGCACCGACACCTCTCTGCCGCCGTTCTACATCCTCGTGTACGTCGACGACTTGGTCTTTGCCACAGCTGACACTGCTGGACTCACCTACGTGAAATCCGAGCTGCAGAAGAGACACACGTGCACTGACCTGGGTGAACTGCGCAGCTACCTTGGCTTGCAGATCACCCGGGACAGAGCACGCCGCACCATTACCCTTACTCAGTCACACATGGTGCAGCAGGTCCTTCAGCGCTTCGGCTACACGTACTCCTCGCCTCAGGCCACTCCTCTGCCTACTCGCCACTCGCTCTCAGCTCTGCCTTCGGATGAGTCCGTAGAGTCGAGTGGCCCGTATGCAAAGCTTGTTGGCTGCCTCATGTACCTGATGACCTGCACACGACCTGACCTTGCATACCCTCTTAGCATTCTTGCACGCTATGTTGCTCCTGGGAGACACCGACCAGAGCACATGGCTGCAGCGAAGAGGGTGTTGCGCTAACTGTGCAGTACGTCGGGCATGGGGCTAGTGCTTGGAGGGCGCAGTCCAGTGGTCCTCACTGGGCACGCAGACGCTTCTTGGGCTGACGACCAGGCTACGCAGCGGTCGTCACAGGGTTACACCTTCAGCCTTGGTTCCGGCTCTGTCTCGTGGCGGGCTACCCGCTCGTCTTCTGTCCTCGGCTCCAGTTGTGAGGCTGAGATCTACGCCGGGGCTATGGCTGCCCAGGAGCTTCGCTGGCTCACCTACCTGCTGACTGACCTTGGAGAGCCGCCTCGTTCTCCTCCAGTCCTGTACGTAGACAACAAGGCCATGCTGGCCTTGTGTCGAGAGCAGCGACTGGAGCACAGGACAAAGCACATTGCTCTTCGCTACTTTCTTGCTCGTGAGCTACAGCAGCGTGGACAGTTGCGACTTGCGTACGTGGCCTCTGAGGCCAACACTGCTGATGTCTTCACCAAGGCACTTGCGCCTTGTGATCATCAGCGCTGCTGCACGCAGCTGGGTCTTGTGCCTGTCTTGCCTCACTTGCTCACTTCTTGACCTTGCTTGTACCTTCACCTATATATACTCTTGCCCTTGCTTGCTTGACTCTTGTATATCTCTGTATATGATCTTGCATGTGGACTGGCCTTCTGGCCTTTGAACTTGTGCTCGGAATGTGTGGTGACTTTGTGATCCACCCTGAGCTTTGCTTTGCTTTGCTTGACTGGTCTTGTGACCAGGGCCTCAGATTCACTTTTAGGGTCGTCGACCCATCAGGGTACCCTTGTGTATAAACCCTGATTGACAGTGTTTCTAAAAAAAAAAACCTGAAATATCAGGGTTCCCTTTGAAAAAAGGCTGATGTATCAGTGTTCAAAAATATAAAAGGTTGTTAATTACTAGAAACCTCTACTTCAAATACTAAGTCAGTAGCAGCCGTGTTATCATCACTGCCTTTGGCTTCTCTCCTCTCCTCAGCTTGGGACACCAGTACGTGACAGTGCTCTGCCGCAGCACACACATACACGTTGAAGCTGCAGGGGCAGGGTGTGGAGGAGGAACCGGATTGACAGGCAGGGTGAGGCAGGGAAAGAGAGAACAGGAGGGAGAGAGGGGGGAAGATTGGCACAGTTGGGGGGGAGACGACTGGGGGAGAGATGGAGTGCACGGAGTGCGGGGCAAAGGGAGCAGAGGAATGGACGGCGGGCGCGCGGGTCATGCGCGGATCATGTCGTCGCGCAGCACGACGATCTGCGCACCGCACGCGGTGCAGATGGCCTTTTCAACCGCGGTTCGTGCTGGCGACGAGGCAGCCTTCGGTTGCCGCCATTAGCACGAAAAACTACGCGTCGTCGAGTCGTAGCGGACCTGCGACGCCGATGGGAATTGCCACGTGGTCTACGACCATCTAGCAGAATGCACTGCGGATCGCGTCGAACGAGAGCGATGTGTTCGGTGAGACAAGAGGAGATTCGGCGGCGCTTGCGATGGGTTCGATTCCCGACAGCCCGCCCTTTCTGGTGCTGATGGCGCCATGAATTAGTGCAGACGAGAAAGCAAGAGAGGAATCGGGCTGAGAGGGAGAGGGAGAGAAACAAGAGGAAAAGAAACAAGAGATTGGGTTGGAGGGAATGGGAGCATCAGTGCTTGCTGGTGCAGGAACCCTCGCAGCCCTCCAGCACAACATGGTTGCCACATCCTGATTAGCTATCACTTCATGCTACAGCGTTACTGCCCAATGAAGTGCTGGCACCGCAGGAATATGAGATTCCCTGTTTTGCGGGCAAATGCACACGGAACAAGTAAGAATTGCTTTCAGTGTTAGTTTCGTTACAACGCCGTAGAATCAGTGTACTTGGGAAACGAAAGTCTGAAATTTCAGTGTGGCCTAACAAAAAAGGCTGAAAGATCAGTCCCACAAAAATCTCAACGCTGATTTTTCAGTGTAGGTAAAAAAAGGGCTGCCAAAATCAGGAATTTCAGGGTTTTTTTCCTGATATCTGAGGCCCTGCTTGTGACCCCTTGTTCTCCCCCACTTTGCCTATGGGGGTGTGTCAGAACATAATAGCTTACTTATTTGTGTAGGCTATAGTGGGGTATCCCATAGGGGGTACAACCCAATTAGGGTTTCCTATTTGTACTCACTTCGTTCATAGTCATTTCCTTCTCGTTCTATTTTTCTCACCAAAGAGCATACAGGAATATATAGGAAAGATAGATTACAGGAAGCGGTTGTGTTTATCGAGACGCGTAACGCTTCGACTATCGAGGCGGTTACTGTTCATTGAAGCGTCGCTTGCTGTTGCGTAACCTCCAGGCGGTTACAGTTCGCAACCTCCAGTTGCGGTTTGATGTGGTACGCGCCCTTTCAAATTCGTACCCCTTTTGTTGTGCTTCAGTATCGGGTGAGGTTCGATACTAGAGAAACGCACTAAGTCATGCGTTTATATTCCCAACAGAGCTCACATACCATACTCATAAAGGCGATGAGATACAAGATTATAACTTACCTTATACCGAAACTCTGCTTTTCCCGAAGTAAAACTCCCTGCCATCCAGCGGCAGGGAGCTTGGAGTTCCATTGCCTAGCATCAGCTTTGAATCTTTCGCTGGGTAGCAACCATGGTTACATTGTCTGGCGAAAACAGTTTCGGAGCGGAGCTCCTTTCGTTCGGTCAAATCTCAAGCTTAGGCGAGAAGTTCTCGCCAATCCCCAGGGCATTCGCTTAGCACCTGCGTAACCACTCCGTATTCCTATTTGACAGTTGGTATACGTATAGCACCTGATCAAGCTGCACCGCTTGACCCTTGTGATCGTCACACTCGTCTCGTCAGTAGCTCCGAGGAACCCAGGTTTCTAAAATTGAATCCGAGGGAATTGCCCGTCATGGGGCAGCTGGATAGGTGCTGATAGTTGAAGCTAGATAGATATTCTAGCTAAATAAGAGCTCGAGGCACATCAATCATCCGTGAAGTAATATTCAGATATCGCATCTCTAATCCGTTCACGCGAAGTTGACTTCTCGTTTCGCATCGCCAGCCAGCCAAGGTCAGCGAGGGTCCAGGCATTCACGAAGATCTCGACGAATTTGACGAATGCAACGAAATCAACGAAATTATGAACTTCTACGCCGCCTCGCGTAGATCAGCTCACCGATCGCTATGGCTAGTCCTACCGCATACGTCACAGCCATTCGTAGATCGGATTCTCAGATATATTGCTCGTGGGACATCGCAAACGCACCGAATGGCATCGCGATCTTCGATTCCTTCCTTAACAAGCCTCGGTCGGATTGAATCGGATCGAAACGAGCCTGCGCGAATCGCGTCTTTTCAAATCCGCAACCCATACCGGAGCTTCCAGGCGCCTCAAGAGAACTTTTCATCCAAAGTCCGAAGCTTCGCCGCATGGTCCGGCGCTGGTGCGTCTTCCAGTCCAGCAAATGCAGAAGCTTTCGAGGCGGAGACTTCTTTCTCTGGGTCGAAACCACTTCCCATAAGCAAGCCTTTAATAGCGGTGCAAAAAGAGTTGAAAACGCGTACAGTGAAGGACGAGGAGAGGGGGGGATGGGAGAGGAGGGCAGAGGCGCATCAGGAAAGCGGAAAGGGGAAAAATGAAGGTGGGGATGCGAGGTTGCAGAGGGTCGTACCGGGGAATGCAGCGAGGATGAGTGAGGGAGGCACGAGGAAGAGCTACGGGACGGGGGCCTGCAAGGAGGAGGAGGAGGAGGAGGAGGAGGCAGTGGCAGTGATTGCTGGAGTGCTGAGGGAGAAATTCGGGCCTCAGATTGTGAGCGAGGAGGTGGAGGCGTGGGGGAGTGGGATAGGAAGCAGCGAGGACGAAGAGGGGGTGGGAATAGTGAATGAGGAGGAGGGGGGCGAGGAGGAGGAGGAGGAGGAGGAGGAGGAGGAGGAGGAGGAGGAGGAGGAGGAGGAGGAGGAGGAAGCAGAAGCAGAAGCGTGTGAGGAGGACGCACCACCCACCACATCTTCTCCCACGCCCCCTCCTCTACTCAACGGCCAGCGGGTCGTATCTCCCTCCTCCCTCCTCTCCCTCTACCGCTTCTTCTCCTCCCACCTCGGCATCTCCTCCCCTTCCACTGTCGCTTCCCTCCTCGCTTCCCACCCCCAACTGCTCCGCTCCAATCCCACCAATGACTTCCTGCCACGTGTCCGCCTCCTCCAGTCATATGGCATATCTCATGCCGATATCCTCCACATCACTGAGATAGGTGCACGCTGGCTCCGATCCCCCCTGCCACGGATTCGAAATAGCCTTGAGCTTCTTTTGACTCTTGGCGTCCGCCGTAGCAGATTAGGCTTGGTGCTTAGACGTGGACGAAGCTAACTCTGCTGTGAGGCTCGTTCAACGAACCTGGACATTCTGGTGGAGAGAGCAGGGGTTCCTGTGGACAAGCTGGGTGTGATTATAGAGAGATGGCCGGCCACCTTGACTCGGAGCAAAGAGACGGTGAATGCGCAGATTGAGATGCTATCAGCCTATCTCAAGGCAAAATCTGGAAGGAAGGTAGAAAGCGGATACCACCAGTACAGGCCCCCTGAAGCAGCGACTAGATGAGCCTCATCTGGACAAGAGCCACCTTAGCAGGCTTGTCTTGAACTTTCCAGTCATTATCGCATATTCTCCGCAAGGTTAAAAAATACGACCGTATTTTTTATTTTTTGCCGTAAATTACGGAATCGTAAATTACGGTAAAAAACGGTAAATCATTGTATTTTAATGTTGGTGCAAAAATACGGTCGTAAATTACGACCGAAATTTTGATACCGAGTTTGCAATAGCGAATTTCGGCGTTTCACAACCGTCACCCTGGGTCAGAAACATTTGTGCGGCCAAATGCACACGTGTTGGTTTTTTTTCCCGAGTCGCGCATGTCAGGTATTTCTCGAGGCGCGACATTTGGTTTTTTGGCGAACGGATTCCTGCTCTGTTGCCTTGACGAAATGTCAGTTTGCGCATTTCGCCGAAGCGCAAATATACAAATTTGCGCGATGCGGTAAACTGTACATTTGGCGAACCGTTGTCACCCGTCAACCCGTTTCGTCAGGTCGGTGGGACGATTCACAAGCTTTTCGTTTTTTTCGCCCGCGTGCGCGACACAACCGAACTTTGCGCTGCGAAACCATTTTAACCAATAGCGTTAGCCCAATCCCCATCCCATCCCATCCCACCCCTTCTGCCTTTTCCTTTCGCCAAAGCAACACAACCAAATCTAGCAAGGCACAAAGAGCAGGGCAAACAACCTACTCGACAAGTACATCTTAGCTTAGTAGGCATTTTACTGCTGCAGTCAAGCAAGTGCAGTATTCCACCATGGTTAGACCGTTCTCGGAGGTGTGGGAGCACGTGACGAAGGTCACATCTCCTAACGGCGTAGTTACCGCGACATGCAGCTATTGCCCTGCTACCGTGACCCCAAATGCCACTCGTATTCGAGAGCACATCTACGGGACCCCTCGCTCAAAGGAGAAGAACGTGACGCCGTGGCCGTCCGAATTTGCCAAACGGCTACGAGAAGCCGCCGAAAGCGATCGGTCTTCCACACCGTCAAGTTCCAACCGTGCCTCCTCCACCTCCACAACGGTCGAGATGCCGCCCGCAAGGCGTTCTAGGCAGCGGGACATCCGCGATATGGCGGATTCCGTTGCCCGCGCGCGTTTGGACTACCTGTGGGCGGCAGTTGTGGCTGAAAATGATCTTGCCTTCAACGTCTCCAAGTCTCGTGCGCTACAGGCCTTCGTTGACGCGGCTGTCGTCTACGCGAAGCCCTACACACTCCCAACCCCTTACAAGGTGTCCGGATCTCTCCTCGACAAGCTAAGGGCGGACGCCGAGGAACTTGTGAGGCCGTTGAAGGAGAGTTGGAAGACGACCGGGTGCAGTCTCTCGGTGGATGGGTGGACGTGCTTGAAGTCCCGCGCGATGGTGTGCGTCATCGCCCTCAACGACACCGCGTCCGTCATTGTGGACATCGTCGACTCGAAAACCGCGAAGAAAACGGGGGATTACCTCGCAGGTCTCATCGGCAAGTCCATCTCCGAAGTGGGGAAAGATCTCGTGGTCCAGGTCATTATGGACAACGCCTCTAACAACCGATCTGCGGCTGAGAAGCTTAAGGTGGAGTTTCCCGGGATTTTCTTCACCAATTGCGCCGCCCACTGCTTGGATCTTATGCTTCACGACTTTGGGAAAGTCAAGCCCATCAAACTCGTCTTGGAGCAAGTTCATCGGGTCGTCATGATGATCAAGGGCAGCGCCTCGGCCGTCGTTCTATTCCGCGAGCTTTTTACCAAGCTTTTGTTGGTGCGGCCGGGTGCGACACGTTTCGGCACGCAAGTCATCATGCTACGCCGATTCTTGGAGGTGAAGAAGGCGCTCCAGGAGATGGTCATCAGCGATGAATGGAAAGGGGTGGCGGTGGCGCAGAAGACCGAAGGGCAGGAGGTGCGGACGCTTCTTCTCGACGACGTATTTTGGGACTGCGTGTCTGCGGTGCTCGGCCTCCTCACGCCGGTTTATGAAGTGCTAAGGGTGGTTGACACGCGGGCGCAAATTATGGGCCAAATCTATGGCCTTATGATTGACATCACGGTCAAGACTCGGGTAGCTGCAGAGGCCGCCGGTAAGTGCAAGGCTATTTATTGGTTTTCCTACTCCTTGATCCAAAACTGTGATGCGAGATCATGCCGCGCATGCCAATCCCTACATTAACGAAAACCACCTCCATTCTCACCGTGAGCAGCGGCGGTGTTCGTCAAGAAGACGGGTCTGCTCTTGGCCAAGGACAAGAGCTCCTTCATCACATCCATCAAGGGCATCCTTGCCAAGCGTTGGGACGGGCAACTCCACAACTCCCTGCATGCCCTCGGATGGCTTCTTAATCCCCGCAACCAATATGCGGGGGAGGTGAGAACGGATGCGGAGGTGAGGAAGGGGGCCAACGAGGTGATTCATGCCCGGGTGGGGGATGTTGCCCAGCGCATCAAGCTGCAGACACAGCTGGTGCAGTTTCACAAGGGGGAGGGCCGCCTCGGGTCGGATGACGCGCTATGGGCAGCCAGGATTTTGGTGGCGGGGGGACACATGACGGATGCGGAGTGGTGGTGCATTTTTGGAGGGGAAGTGCAAGCGCTCCAGGAGCTGGCTGTGACGTCCCTTTCACAGCCAGTCACCTCGTCAGAGGTGGAGCGGTACTGGTCCGCCCTTGCACGAGTGCAGAGGCGCGACCGGAACCGCATCGCGGCCAAGAAGATGACTGATGTCACCTTCGTGGCCTTCACGAGGAGGGCCCGCGATGCGTTTGATCGCAAAACGCAGGCGCGTGCGAAGTTGTACGCCGATCTCACCGACGGAACCCTCAAAGAGGGCATTGCCGTTCTCCCGCCCGCACCAGTGGAGGCGGTTGATGATGGGGCTGAGGAGGAGGAGGGAGCCGAGGTGCAGGAGTGCACCATCGAGTGGAGCGTCTTTGGGAGCATTGGTAAGAAGAAGAAGAAGCGCGCGGGAGAGAGCTCCAAGAGGAAGAAGAAGCAGAAGGGAAAGGGGCCATGCAAGCGGAAGGGGAGAGGAAAGAAGCATGTGGAGGAGGAGGAGGCGGAGGATGACGAGGAGGAGGACGACGACGAGGAGGAGGACGACGAGGAGGAGGAGGACGACGAGGAGGAGGAGGATGAGGAGGAGGAGGATGAGGAGGAGGAGGAGGAGGTGGAGGAGGAGGAAGGATAGGAGGTGGAGTGCCGGAGGAGTAGAAGGAGTTGGAGGAAGGAGTAGGATTGGAGGAAGAGGAGGGAATAGAATAGGTGCAGATTTGCCTAACTAGTGTAGTGTAGTTTCTTGTAGGCTTCTCTGCCATCGTTGTAAGCTGCCTAGAATTTTCTGAAAAAAAAAAACAAGAAAAAAAAAGTCCAACAAAAAAACGGCCGTATTTTTGCCAAAACCACCGTAATTTACAACCGTAAATTACGGACCGTAATTTACGATTGCCATATTTTTGAACCTTGATTCTCCGTATCACATTGCAGAGAATATCGCCATACTCCAGTCCTCCACTCCCCCAGGCTCGCCCTCCATTGCGAGCCCTGTGCTTCGTCGTGCCCCCAACATCCTTGGTTTCAGCAAAGAAACTCTCTCAGCTAAGCTCCAGTTTTTTGTGGAGCTGGTGGGGGAGGAGGCAGCAGGGAGAATAGTTAGGAGCTTCTCGCAGGTTCTTTATTTATCGAAGGAGAATGTACAAGGCAAGGTGGCAGTATTGGCTGATTTGATTGGCCGAGAGAATGTTGTGCGGGTGGTGGCACTATTTCCTAAGATATTATCTTCTAGTGAAGATGTCATGAGGGAAAGTTTTAGAGAGCTTGTGCGAGAAGTGGAAGAGGCATTGGAGAGCAGTGGAGAGGGAAGTGGAACGCAAAGGTTGGTGAAAGGCGAAAATGGTAGTTCATGGAAAGCAGGGAATGAGTTTCGAGTGTTTATCTCAGCAGGTGACAACAAATATAGGGCTCGTGAGTTGGTTGTGGATTTGGTGGTGAAGTACCCGACTTCGATCCATTGTAGCTGGAAAGAGAATCTGAAGCCCAAGGTGGAGTACTTAAAACGGGACATGGGCCTTTCTATAATGGAGGTTCTTGCTTACCCTCAGTTTCTTGCGTTCAGTTTGGATCGGCGGATTAAACCGCGACATGTGGCCTGGTGCGAATGGGGTATGCGATTGTGGCACACGAGGTGGTTATTCGGCCGAGTGTTGGGGGCAGGAAGGGTGTTTCAATTGATGCTGGGGAAGAGAGGAGCAAGCTGGGTTCTGTGTCTGAAGTGGAGGGAGCGGAAAGGAGTGGATGGGAAGCGGAAGAAACAAAGGGTGAAAGAACGAGCGAGCCAGGGGGGAGAGCTGCTACAGAGCAGAAGCTTGTGAATTTGGAGGCGATAAAGAAGATAATTTGCTTGCGGCAGTTTCTCCACTGTACAGACAAGCTATTCGAGGAGAAGTTTGGCGTCAAACTGTAGGGCTGGTGCTGATAGGCTTCTTCGGTTTCCAGTGTGCCTGGGCTTCAAAGTCCATGCCTGGGTGAGTGAGAGGGGTGTGCGCCAATGCCTGATGTCGGTGTGTGTATCTCCACATTAGCCCCTCTCTGCAGAACTTGCCATTGCATCAACCACTGTGGGGGGGTTTGGGACGGGGAGAAGGGAGTGTTAGCGGGGGGGGGGGGGGGGGAACAATAGCTGGTAAAAGGCGATCGCGGCAGGGGCTGCGGAGGGACCTATTTATGAGCTCTGCTTTTCTCTCCAGTTTTGATTTTTCTACTGGTGCTGGGGGGGAGAGAGGAGGGGATTACCAGAACTAGCAGCAGCAGTAGCAGGAGCAGGAGGAGCAGGAGCAGGAGCGGCACGAATAGGAGGGGGGGATAGTGTGAGTGCCACACCCTTGTCGCTGGGACCTTTGTTGCTGCCAGATGGGACCGGCAGGGATGTGGCTGCTACAACTACCTCTGCTACAGCCGCCGCATCCCTCCGTCTGCTGGACCTGCTACAGCCGCCACTACTACAGCCGAGGAATTTTCGGGTAGCCTGATGAAAAGAACGGGTGGGTAGTTAAGTCGAGAAGAGACGCGGTGGGAGAGGAGGGATGGTTTGAGGGGACAGCAGGAAGAGGGGGAGGTGGGGGGGGCGAGAGGAGGTGTTGGCTTCGAGAAGGAGGTGGAGGAGGGAGAGCAGGGGTCGGTTGTTAGACACTCCTTGAGTTCAGGCCCCTTTCATCGTCCTGGTTCAGCCGCAGATCCAATACCATCTCTAATCAACCACTCTGGTGGGGAGGAGGGGAGGTGAAGAGAAGAGGGGAGGGGAGGAGGGGAGGCGGGAGAGGAGGGAGAGCAACGGGTAATTAACAGACACTCCCTGTGCGAATTTCCCTCCCATCGTCCTGGTTCAGCCGCCGATCCAATGCCATCTCTAATCAACCACTCTGGTGGGGAAGGAGGGGAGGTGAAGAGAAGAGGGGAGGGGAGGAGGGGAGGCGGGAGAGGAGGGAGAGCAACGGGTAATTAACAGACACTCCCTGTGCGAGCACCCTCCCATCGTCCTGGTTCAGCCGCTGATCCAATACCATCTCTTCCAGGATTGGGAAGTAGAAGAGGGAGGAGGAGAGAAGGATAGGGGGACGGAGGGGGAGGAGGGCACGGTGAGGAGAGGCTGTTAAGCACATAGCGAGACCAGTTCTTTTAGAATCTTTTAAAAACAAATGGTGAGGAGAAGCTGTTATGCACATAGCCAGGCCAAGGATTAAATGACATTAAGAAGGCGGGCAAGGGAGGTCTCATCTTGAGACTGGCGAACTCCATGGCTTGGCGAGTGTGAACAGAGAAGCGCATGCCCAAGGGGTCTTGCAGGAAGGCCAGGGCGGGCATGGGGTAGAAGTGGGCGTGGGGTGGCAGGCAGAGGGGTGTGAGGGGAGAGGGGAGCCCTGTGGTGAAAGCAAGTGTTGGGAAGAAGAGCTCACCTTGAGACTGGCAGCGCCCATGACTTGGCGAGTGTGAACAGAGAAGCGCAGGCCCGAGGGGTGTTGCAGGAAGGCCAGGGCGGGCATGGGGTAGAAGTGGAACTGCAGGGGAATGCGGGCGAACGTTTTCCTCCTCACCATCTGAAAACCGTTCAGGTCCGTGTGAAAGATGTTGCAGACCTGAAGGGAAAGGCATGGGGTATATGAGACAGGCATGGGGCATGGGCCATGGGGCATGAGTAGGAGAGGGCGGGAATGGGGTATATTTGACAGGCATGGGGCATGGGACATGGGGCATTAAGCATGGCGCATGAGAAGGAGAGGGCGGGCATGGGGTAGAAGTTGGCTTGCAGGGGAATGCGGGCGAGTGTTTCCCTCCTCACCGTCTGAAAACCGTTCAGGTCCGTGTGAAAGATGTATGTCGTCCTGAAAGATGTTTGCAGACCTGGGGTGGTGGTGGTGAGGGGATGCGGATATTATGAGAGTGAGGAGGTGGGTGGATGAGATGGCGAGGGCGGGCATGGGGTCGAAGTTGCCCTGCAGGGAGATGCGGGAGAGGGTTTCCCTTGGCCAAGGGAGATGCGGGATAGGGTTTGGAAGCCGTTTAGGTTTGTGTGGAAGATGCTTCTAGACCTGCAGGGGTGGTGGGGGAAGGGGGGGGTTGCAGATAAGAGAGGGGGAGGGACGGCTTGGCAGGTGAGAGTTGACTGGTTTTGGGGCTTGACAACACGGGAGGCCATGTGAGGACGACGGCAGGCATGACGGCAGGCTTGGGGCCAGGCATGGGGGCAGGCATGAGGGCAGGCATGGGGCAGGCGTGGGGGCAGGCATGGGGGCAGGCATGGGGCAGGCGTGGGGGCAGGCATACTGGCAGGCATGGGGGCAGGCATGAGGGCAGGCATACTGGCAGGCATGGGGGCAGGCATGCTGGACGTGCTACAGCCGCTCCTGTGGGTGGCGGTGTCACCGGCTGTAGCAGAGGAGTTACTGTTCAGAGGGCTGCTGTTCACGACCCTACAAGAGAGGCTCGGCAGGTGAGAGGTTGGCAGGAGGCTCGGTAATGAGGTTGGCAAGGGCTTACTGCTACCACCTTGTTTCTGGTTTGAGAACTTCCTCCATTTTCATGGCCCACACTCTCTAATCAATCCGATGTCACTCGTTCTTTCTTATCCCCACACGCTTGATATCGTCTTTCTTGTATTCCCCTCCTTTCCTCCCTGCATTATCCCCTTTCCTGCCTCTCTCCCCTTCCCTGCCTCTCTCCCCTTTTCTCCCTGTTTCCCCCCAGGATCGACGCTGCCATGCTGTCTGCAGCCCTCTTCGCCCTCTTCCACCTCTCCCTCGCCCTCCTCTTCCCCAACATGGCCCTTGGGATTGCCGCCAGCCTGCTCGCTGTCTACTCCAAAAGCGTCTTGCCAGCTGTCGCTCTGCATACCACTTACAACGCTTCTGCTCTAATCTACGCACTCATGGCTGCGACGATTGCTTCTGTCTAGCAGGCAAAGAGCTGGTTAGTACAAAGACCTGGTTCCTTCGCAGGTGTGTAACATTCTGAAAACAGGAAAAAAATCTGGCTGGACAATGCCCAACTGCCGCACCAGCGGGACCACTCTGGTTCGTGCCTCCAAGTTGGTATGGACCATGGTGTCTGGATGTTCCATGTCACTTCTCCAAGATAGCGACGTTGACTGTGTAAATGGAACAGTGTGAACACGCGTTTGACGAGCCCACAAATATCCTGATGGGTGCACAATCCATACCATGTGTTTTTAAGATGAGTGGGATGAAAGAACTCACATACCATACTCATAAAGGTGATGAGATACAAAAATTCAACTTACCTTATACCGAAACGCTGCTTTTCCCGAGGTGAAACTCCCGCCACCCAGCGGCAGGGAGCTTGGAGCTCCATTGCTTAGTATCAGCTTTGAATCTTTCGCTGGGTAGCAACCACGGTTACATTGTCTGGCGAAAACAGCTTCGGAGCGGAGCTCCTTTCGTTCGGTCAAATCTCAAGCTTAGGCGAGAAGTTCTCGCCAATCCCCAGGGCATTCGCTTAGCACCTGCTACCACTCCGTATACTTATTTGAAAGTTTGTAAACGCACAGCACCATATCAAGCTGCACCGATTGACCCTTGTGATCGTCACACTCGTTTCATTGGTAGCCCCAAGGAACCCAGGTTTCCAAAATTGAACTTCTACGCCGCCTCGCGTAGATCAGCTCGCCGATCGCTATGGCTAGTCCTACCGCATACGTCACAGCCATTCGTAGATCGGATTTTCAGATATATTGCTCGTGGGACATCGCAAACGCACCGAATAGCATCGCGACCTTCGGTTCCTTCCTTAACAAGCTTCGATCGGATTGGATCGGATCGAAACGAACCTGCGCGAAAAGCGTCTTTTCAAATCCGCAACCCATTCCGAAGCTTCGAGTCGCCTCAAGAGAACTTATCATCCCGAGTCCGAAGCTTCGCCGCATGATCCGGCGCTGGTGCGTCTTCCAGTCCAGCAGATGCAGAAGCTTTCGAGGCGGAGACTTCTATCTCTGGGTCGAAACCACTTCCCAGAAGCAAGCCTTTAATAGCGGTGCAAAAAGAGTTGAAAACGCGTACAGTGAAGGACGAGGAGAGGGGGGATGGGAGAAGAGGCCAGAGGCGCATCAGGAAAGCGGAAAGGGGAAAAAAGGAAGGTGGGGATGCGAGGGTTGAGAGGGTCGTAGCGGGGAATGCAGCGAGGAAGAGTGAGGGAGGCAGGAGGAAGACCTACGGGACGGGGGCCTGCAAGGAGGAGGAGGAGGCAGTGGCAGTGATTGCTGGAGTGCTTAGGGAGAGATTCGGGCCTCAGATTGTTAGAGAGGAGTTGGAGGAGTGGGGGAGTAGGTTAGGAAGCAGCGAGGACGAAGTGGGGATAGTGAATGAGGAGGAGGGGGGCGATGAGGAGGAGGGGGAGGAGGAAGCAGAAGCAGAAGCGTGTGAGGAGGACGCACCACCCATCACATCTACTCCCACACACCCTCCTCCACTCAACAGCCCGCGGGTCGTATCTCCCTCCTCCCTCCTCTCCCTCTACCGCTTCTTCTCCTCCCACCTCGGGATCTCCTCCCCTTCCACTGTCGCTTCCCTCCTCACCTCTAAGCCCCAACTCCTACGCTCCAACGCCACCAATGACTTGCTGCCACGTGTCCGTCTCCTCCAGTCATACGGCATATCTAATGCCGACATCGTGCGCATCACTGTGAGGGAACCAGCCTGGCTTCGAGTCTCCCTGCCACAGATTCAAAACACCCTTGAGTTTCTTTTGGCTCAAGGCGTCCGCCGTAGCAGACTGGGCTTTGTGCTCCTGCACGGACAGGGCTTAATCTGTTCCGAGGCTCGTTCAACGAACCTGGACATTCTGGTGGAAAAAGCAGGGGTTCCTGTGGACAAGGTGGGTGTGGTGATAGAGAAATATCCGTCCATCTTGACTCGGAGTAACGAATCAGTGAATACTCAGCTTCAGATGCTATCAGCTTATTTCACGGCGGAGTTTGGAGGGAAGGTGGAAACAGATAGCACCAGCACAAGCCTCTTGAAGCAGCAACTGAATGAGCCGCATCTGGTCAAGAACCGCTTAAGCAAGCTTATCCTGAGCTGTCCGGTCATCTTCTCTGCTCCTCCGTATCGCATGGCGGAGAATATTGCCATTCTCCAGTCCTTCACTCCTCCAGGCACTCCCAACATTGCGACCAATGTGCTTCAGCGTGCCCCCACCATCGTCTGTCTCAGCTCAGAAACTCTCTTAGCTAAGCTCCAGTTCTTTGTGGAGCTGGTGGGGAAGCAGGCAGCAGGAAGAGTGGCGAGGAGTCATCCAGTGGTTCTGCAACTTTCAAAGGAGAACGTGCAAGGCAAGGTGGCGGTATTGGCTGATTTGATTGGCCGAGAGAATGCTGTGCGGGTGGTGACACAATTTCCTTTGCTACTGGCGTCTACTGAAGATGGCCTGGAGGAAAGTTTCAGAGAGCTTGTGCGCGAAGTGGAAGAGGCATTGGAGAGCAGTGGAGGAGAGAGAAATGGGAGGCAAAGGTTGGGTGAAGGTGATAGAGGTAAATGTTTGGCAGGGGAAATTACTTCCTGAGCACTAAGTGTCGAGAGATGTATGGCTAAACGGTTGGTGGTGGATCTGGTTGTGAGGTACCCGACGTCTATCTATTACAGTTGGAAAGCAAACTTGAAGCCCAAGCTGGAGTACTTCAAACGGGACATGGGGCTCTCTATAATGGAGGTGCTTGCCTTGCCATTCCTTCTTGGGTACAGTTTGGACCGGCGAATCAGACCGCGGCATGTGGCACTGGTGCGCACGGGCTATGTGGTTGTGGCACGCGAGGTGGCTAATCGGAGGAGTGGAGACAGGAGGGGCGTTTCAAATGAAGCTGGCAAACAAAGGAGCAAAGTGGGTTCTGTTTCCTTGCTTCTATATCAAGTGGAGGGAGTGGAGGGGTCAACTTTAGAGACTTCTCTAGAGTCAAGGAAAGCAGTGTGCTTGCGGAAGTTTCTCCACTGTTCAGACAAGCAGTTCGAGGAGAAGTCTGGGGTCACACTGTAGGGCCAATCTTCCGGAAATGGGGAGAGGGAGCGTTAATGGGGGGAAACGATAGCTGGTGGAAAGCGATTGTGGCAGGGGCGGTGGGGGGTCCTGTTCTACGGGACTGCGTTTCTCTCAAAACTAGAGCTGGAGGGGAGGGGGGAGGGGGATTACCAGAGCTAACAGCAGTAGCAGCAGTAGCAGGAGCAGGAGCAGCAAGAGGAGGAGGAGGGGATAGCGTGAGTGCTACATCCCTGTTGTTATGTCCTCCTTTGTTGCTGCTGGATGGGACCGGCGGGGATGTGGCTGCTACAGCTGCTGTGGCCGTCGCCCTGCTGGACCTTCTACAGTTCCTGTGGGTGGTGGTGTGCTCGGCTGTAGCAGAGGAGCTGTTGTACAGAGCACTGCTGATCACAGCCCTGCAAGAGAATCGCGGCAGGTGAGTGAGAGGCTTAACAGGAGGCCTGGAAGTGAGGTTTAAAAAGCTCCAATGCAACTATCTTTTTGAAGTTGATAAGTTCCTCCATTTCCATAGAGAGGCTCGGCAGGTGAGAGGCTTAGCAGGAGGCCCGGTAGTGAGGTGTTAAAAGGCTCCAATGCAACCGTCTAGTTGGGTTTGATAAGTTCCTCCATTCCCATGGCCCACACTCTCTCGCATCAATCCAATTTCACTCTTCTTTCCTATCTTCACTCACTTGATATCGTCTCTCCTTCATTCCTCCTCTCTTTTCTCCTTTCACTATACCCTGTCCTGCCTTTCTCTCCCTCAGGATCGACGCTGCCATGCTGTCTGCAGCCCTCTCCGCCCTCTTCCACCTCTCCCACGTGATAAAGGTTGTATTTTGAGACGTCTCAAAAGCCCTCTTCTTCGCCCTCTTCCACCTCTCCCTGTCGCTCCTCTTCCCCAACATGGCCCTTGGGATCGCTGCTGGCCTGCTTGCTGGTGCGAATGTGCTATGCGGTTGTGGCACACGAGATGGTTACTCGGACGAGTGTTGGAGGCGGAAGGGGTGTTTTGACGGCAGCTGGGGAAGAGAGGGGCAAGCTGGGTTGTTGTGTGTCTGACACAGTGGAGGGGGTAGAGAGGATTGAATGGGCGATGCGGTTGGGGCACACGAGATGGTTAGTCGGACGAGTGGTGTAGACAGGAACGAGAGCTGGGGAAGAGCGGGGCAAGCTGGGTTGTTGTGTGCCTGACAAAGTGGAGGGGGTAGAGAGGATTGAATGTGGAGCGGAAGAAAGAAAGAGTGAAGGAACGGGTGACAGGGAAGAGCAACAATGCCAAGGGGAGGATTGTGGCAGTGGACTGTTACTTACGGGTTTCTTAGGAATGATGAGCCAGGAGGGAGAGCTATTATAGAACAGCAGCTTGTGAATATGGAGATGGCAAGGAAAACAGTGTGCTTGCCTCTGTGATTTTTGAACTGTAAGGGCGCGTCATTTTCATTTCATTTCTGCTCAATACCCATCCCGACCAGTCTGAACATTGATTTGACCGATGCAGAACGTGGAACATCTCATTGAGCCGCATTCAAACGAACGAAAAAGATCCACCCTAAAACTGTATTTTTTAGCTGATATCAGCATACCTCTCTGCCTGTGCCATCTGAGAAGTTCCACAAGGCAATGTTTAAGGTCCTCATTAGGGTTCAGGATAGGTAAAAAAGCAGCACTGGAAGAAGTAAAGGTTAACTCAAGGAGCATGGGAAGCCAATGTTGATCTTAGGTCTGGGTTGCCCGGGAACAGTGGACAGGACAGTCACCCACATACCCCCCAACCCCTTCTTTTCCCCCCATCAATGACCAGATTTACCGATAGATCCTTGAAGCATTCACACAGTAAGCCAATGTCAATCTTGGGCCTGGGCTGGACTGCCTGGTCATTCATCATGTTAAGATATCTCAGCCCAACACGTCAGTCACATACGTACCCCTCACCTCCCCCCCTCCTCCCCCCCCCCACACATCTGCCATCTGCTAACCCTACAATAGGTCCTTGAGGCATTCGCACAGGAAGCCGATGTCGATCTTGGGTCTGGGATGACTGGGAGCAGTGGTCAATCACCCACATGAAGCCCCATCCGCCTCCCCTCAACTGCTAACTCTATGACAAATCCTTGAGGCATTCGCACAGGAAGCCGATGTCGAACTTGGGTCTGGGCTGACCGGGCTTCGTTCAATCACGTATAACCTCTCTCACCCCTTCCCTTTTCCCTTTTCCCTTCACACATCTGCTAACCCTATGACAAGTCCTTGAGGCATTCGCACAGGAAGCCGATGTCAATCTTGGGTCTGGGCTGCCCAGGGGCTGTGGTGCCTTGCGAGGCCATCTCTATGAACATGAGGAGCTTCTTGATGGTCATCTGATGAATGGGGATGGAGGGTGGGATTCAGGGTGATGTTAAGGACAGCTCTATGGATGGGCAGCAGTGGAGCCTTGAGAGGCCATTTCTATGAACATGAGTAGCTTCTTGATGGTCATCTGAAGGGAAGGGGGATGGGCATGGAATGGGGGAAGGGGATGGAGAGAGACATGAGGAGAGACAGAAGAGGGACAGTGCTGATGTTCTCTTAAAGTGGAGAAGTGGGGAATCGAGAGGCCATCTCTATGAACACAAGGAGCTTCTTGACGGTCATCTGTGGAAGGGGGGGTGGAGAGTGGGGGGGAGGATTCAGGGTGATGTTAAGGACAGCTCTTTGGACGGGGAGCAGTGGGGCCCTGAGACGCATCTCGACGAACATGAGGAGCTTCTTCATGATCATCTGAAGGAAGAAAGCATGGGATAAGGAGACTGGGAAGGAAGGGACAATGGCGTGTGAGTGATGGATGGGGAGCAGTGGAGCCCTGAGAAGCCATCTCTATGATCATGAGGAGCTTTTTCTATGGTCATCTGAAAAAGGGGGTGTGGTTCGTGGGTACAGAAGAGGCAGGTGGGGAAACGTGGGGAGGGACACAAATTCATGGATCATGCGGGTTAGCATCTAGAAAATGGCTCGTCTCTTGCACTGTGTGGTGCGGCGTGAAGAGCATCTAAAAGTTTGTGCAGTGCAGTGCAACGTGGTGCATTGCAGTGCAGTGCAGTGCAGTGCAGAGTGGTGCGGTACAGTGCAGTGCAGGGCTCACCTCTTCCACTGTGGAGTGAAGAGCATCCACAGCAGTGTCAATGTCGTCTGCTTCGAACACGTCCAGCTCTTTCAGTGCCTGGGCAAGGAAGGGGCCAGTTGGCAAGGGAGGGGAAAGAGTGAGAAAAGGTGAGGGTGGTGGGAGGATAAGAGCATCCACAGCAGTGTCAATGTTGTCTGCTTCGAACACGTCCAGCTCTTTCAGTGCCTGGGCAAGGAAGAGGAGAGAGGGAGTGCAAGAGAGGAATCAGTGATGACGTGGCATGCACAGCAGTGTTAACTTTGTCTGGGCATCCAGCTACATCAGCGCGGTGACTTTTGAGTTGACTCAAAAGTCACCTTTGTCTGGGCATCCAGCTACATCAGCGCCTGGGAACAGTGACATAACAAGGAGGGAGGCAATTAGAAAATAAGGGGAATGTACTGTCGGGAGTATATGCTTCAAGCACTGGAGGTAACACTAGGGCAACTGGTTTCAACGCATGATGGTGTGGGCATGGTGTGGGCATGGTGTGGGCATGGTGTGGGCATGGTGTGGGCACGGTGTGGGCACGGTGTGGGCATGGTGTGGGCATGGTGTGGGCATGGTGTGGGCATGGTGTGGGCATGGTGTGGGCATGGTGTGGGCACGGTGTGGGCATGGTGTGGGCATGGTGTGGGCATGGTGTGGGCATGGTGTGGGCATGGTGTGGGCATGGTGTGGGCATGGTGTGGGCATGGTGTGGGCATGGTGTGGGCATGGTGTGGGCATGGTGTGGGCATGGTGTGGGCATGGTGTGGGCATGGTGTGGGCATGGTGTGGGCATGGTGAGAACAGCGTTGAAGGAGGAGGAGGGGTGCATGGCCTGCTGAAGAGAGGCTTACTCACCCCAACCATCCATTCTAACCCACTATGCTGACGCAGGAAAGGCAACTCACCGCCCTGGTTTCGATGCGGGAAAGCGTGGGCACGGTGAGAACAGTGTTGAAGGAGGACGACAGGTGCATGGCCTGCTGAAGTGCCTCGGGCAGACTCGTGGTTGCGATCACGTACAGCTTGTGACCCTGTATGAGATGAAGGGAGAAGGCGGGGAGAGGTGGAAGGGAAAGCGCGGGGGTGAATGAAGGAGGACGAGAGGTGCATGGCCTCCTGAAGCGCCTCGGGAAGACTGGTGGTTGCAATCACGTACAGCTTGTGACCCTGGAGCGGAGGAGGGTGGGGAAGTAAGACATTGGGGGGGAAGCGGCAGAGTGCGGAGAGGGGAAGTCAAGACGAGCACGAGCAGCGAGTGCAGCACGAGGTTGGAGAAGCAGAGAGGGGGAAGGTGCGGTTCAGGGGGGTTGATACCACTGGCAGGACTATCGCTTCATTGGAGTGACTTTTGAGAATTCTCAAAAGTCACTCCAATATTCAGGGGGGTTGGTTGCTACCACTGGCAGGACTATCGCTTCTCACCTCAGGGAAAAGCCTCTTGACGAGCACGAGCAGTGACTGCAGCACGAGGTTGGAGAAGCGCAGGAGAAGGGTGTTGGTGAGAGGGTGGTGGTGGTGGTGGTGGTGGTGGTGGTGGTGGTGGTGGTGGTGGTGGTGGTGGTGGTGGTGGTGGTGGTGGTGGTGGTGGTGGTGGTGGTGGTGGTGGTGGTGGTTGTGGTGGTGGTGGTGGGCGAGTGGGTTTTGACCATTGGAACACCCTTGTGATCAACGTACCTCAGGAGGAAGTCTCCTGACAAGCACGAGCATGAGGTTGGAGAGCGCTGATGAAGGCCACCGGCCGAAACGCGCGTACGCTCAGGTTTGAATGACAATTTCTTACCTAATCAATCCCTACTAGCCTAAGCTCAACCTAGAGGAGATTAGGAAGAGATTAGGACGAGTTACCTGTTGGATCCAGGTTGAAACTGTTTTCCTGACAAGCACGAGCATGAGGTTGGAGCAGCGCGGGAAGGGGAAGGTGCAGGTGGGGGGTGGGTGCTATCACCGGGGAGACGGACCAGCTAACCCACCTCAGGGGGAAGCCTCTTGACGAGCACGAGCAGCGACTGCAGCACGAGGTTGGAGAAGTGGAAGGTGCAGTTTGGCGGGAAATTTTGCTACCACTGGGGAGATCATCCCAACCCATCCCAACCCATTTCAACCCATCCCAACCCATCCCAACCCATCCCAACCCACCTCAGGCGGAAGCCTCTTGACGAGCACGAGGAGCGACTGCAGCACGAGGTTGGAGAAGCGCGGGCCGATGCTGACATACTCGAATAGGCGCTCTATGTCGTCCAGAATCACGATGCTGAATGCGGATTTATATGCGTCGTCAAACACCTGCGGATAAGGGGAGGGAAGGAGGACGGGACAGCAGGTGGGCTGATGGGGCGCCTGGGAAGCCGATGCTGAAATACTCAAAGAAGCGCTCTATGTCGTCTGAATGCTGAACGCTGGGAAGCTGACGCTAAAGCCGATGCATTGTCAAACACCTGTTGGATGGGAGGGGGGGGAGGAGGATTGGCCCTATCCAACACACAAACCACCATTTTTCCTGCTGGTATTTGATTTAAGAACACGTATGGAAAGGAAAAAAAAAAAAAAAAAAAAAAAAAAAAAAAAAAAAAAAAAACTTACTAGACAATGGAATACATAACAGTACATGATATGCTCAGTAGAAGTTCACCCACCTTGGCTATGGCTGAGCATTTGGACGGCTCTGACATGCCCACCATCGTCTCTGCTGAGATCTGGTCCGTTGATATGGGAGAGAGAGTCATGGAGAAATGATAAGAGAATAAATAAGTGAATAATTAGAGACGCGAAGAAGTTGGAGGAGAGGAAATTAATGAAACAAGCCATTTCATGTATCAGGGGAAGGTAACCAGGTAGCAAGGTGACAATGGGACGAGGTGACAAGGATAATGTTGAAGAACGCAACGGGAGAGTCGCAAAGCCACGTACCATCTTAACAAAGGGGAAACCGCTTTCCATGGCAATCGTTGCAGCAAGAGCCGTCTTTCCACTGCAGTGAGAGCAGAACGGGTGGAAAGTTGGAAACACGAATGAGTATGGGACCACGCATGCATGGCATGACCAGATGGTGAGAAACGGCTCGTCCCACAACGGCTCATCTCCCAACCCAACGCAGCGAGAGAGAAAAAGAACATTCGTATCCCTCAGCAAGGATATAAAAAAGCACAAGTACAAATGTGAGATTCTGGTCTAGCTCTAACAGTGAGATCAGGCGTAGTTGCATTCCCATTCTCGCCTGTCTCCCTATCCCCACACACACACTCACCTCCCTGGGGACCCTTCCAGCAGGCACGTCAGCAGGGGCGTTCTCTCGCTGCTCCGCACTTGCAGTGGGTGTTACGGCGTTTTCTTCCTGCACCTCTTTCTCTCCTTCCGCTACCCCCTTTCCTCCAAACCACGCTCACCTCCCTGGCGACCCTTCCAGCAGGCACGTCAGCAGGGGCGTTCTCTCGCTGCTCCGCACTTGCAGCACCTGGCGCTTAGCGGTGGAGAGGATGTGGTGGTGCGCTGTCAGGGACTGCAGCATGCCGTTCAGACTGCAAGGGAGGGGGAACGTAGAAAGGATGTGCTGAGTGTGCTGCCTTTCCTTTCGCTTGCAGCGCCTGGCGCTTGGCGGTGGAGAGGATGTGGTGGTGCGCTGCCAGGGACTGCAGCATGCCGTTCAGACTGCAAACAAGAAGGGGGAGATGCGGGATGGAGGGCATGGGATGGGTTGACGTCACGCTGTCACGGCGGTGCTCAGAGTGCAAACGGCACGCTCTGGGACTGAATCGGAGCAGCAACGAACTCACCGGTACATGTTGAGCTGCTCTGTGTTGGCGCCATAGGCCGGGCGCACCTCCTTGAGCGCCTCTTCGAAATCCACCGTAGTCACCCGAATGTTGTCCTCGTCTATCGCCTTGGTCAGGTCGGACGGGTGCAAGAGGCGCTACTCAGAGTGCAAGAATTCGAGCACTGGAGCTGGAGGGAAGTAGCGGCTGACTCACCGGTACATGTTAAGCTGCTCTGTGTTGGCGCCATAAGCCGGCCGCACCTCCTTGAGCGCCTCTTCAAAGTCCACCATGGTCACCCGAATGTTGTCCTCGTCTATCGCCTTGGTCAGGTCTGACGGGTCCGTCTGCCTTGACAGCGCGAAGGAGACAGCGCTCTTGACTAGTCCTTCTAGCTCTGCTCCACTGAAATTCTTGGTGCGGGCAGCTGGGAGGGGGAAGAGGCCAGCACAGCGGGGGGAATGGTGGGAGAACATAGGTCACTCGGATGTTGTCCTCGTCTATCGCCTTTGTCAGGTCAGACGGGTCTGTCTGTCTTGACAGGGCGAAGGAGACAGCGCTGTTCACTGGACCTTCTAGCTCTGCTCCACTGAAGCTTTTGGTGCAGGCAGCTGCGGGATTTAAGAAAAGAGGTTGAGAAAAAAGGATGTTAGAGGGGGATGCGAGAGGGGGGTGGGATAATGGAGGTGTTAATGAGAGAGTGGAGGGCACTCGGATGTTGGCCTCTTCTATAGCCTTGCTCAGGTCTCCCGGGTCCGTTTGCCTTGACAGGGCGAAGGAGATGGCGCAGCACTCTTCATCCTCTGAGCTGTATCCGACTGAAGTTCTTGGTGTGAATTGCTGGAGGGGGGCGGATGGGAGGGTGGGAAGAGGTAGAGGGAGGGGTGCAAACTCTTGACTAGTCCCACCAGCTCTGCTCCACTGAAGCTCTTGGTGCGTGCAGCTGGGGTGAACGGGAAGGAAGGGAGACAAAAGTTATTTGGTCAACCCCAAGCGAAGTTATGGAAAACCATTTCCAATTTACAGAACGAAAGAAAAGAAAAGAAGAAGAAAAGAAGGAACAATTCTTGGCTTACCCAAGCTGTGGAGGTCCACGTCAGCACCCATGAAGGAGTTTTCACGCATCTTGTTGGAATGGATGCCCAGGATCTTCACTCGCCCCTCCTCGTCTGGTAACCCTATTTCGATCTGCACCTCCAGTCGACCCGGTCTGGCGAGGATGGGGAAAGGGAGAGAGGGAGAGTGGAGGTGGGGGGGGAGTAAAAAGGCGGGATGGATGGCCTGGACAAAGTGGACCTCTTCACTTGGCCCTCTTTGTCTGGTAACCCTATTTCGATCTGCACCTCCACCAGAATAAATTGCTCTAACTACAATTCAAAAAATACACAACCTCAATCACACTTCATACCACATCACTGACACTGCATCACATGCCTTTTCATTCCAACAGACCACACAGCACCGCACTGCACCTGAGCAGAGCCTCGTCGAGCATGTCTTTCCGATTGGTCATGCCGATGAGAAGAATGTTGTTCAGCGACTCTACTCCATCAATCTGTGCACAATAAGAGTGAGCAGGAAAAGGGGGGATAGGTGGGCAGGCGGGAGGAGGAGGACAGGCAGGAGGGAAGAGGAGGAAAGGGTAGGAGGGGAGAGGAGGAAAGGGTAGGAGGGGAGAGGAGGAAAGGGTAGGAGGGGAGAGGAGGAAAGGGTAGGAGGGGAGAGGAGGAGGAGGAGGACGACGAGGGGCACATGCATTTCTGAGCGACTGGTTGAACATGCTGTTGTGCATTCCCGCACCATTGCAGCATGGGGGTATAGTATGGGGGCAGGAGGGGAGAGGAGGAGGGGAGGGAGGAGGGGGGGCAGAGGAGGGGAGGAGGATGAAGCGGCGGCAGGGGAGAAGAGGAGGGGAGGGACATGGACGTACCTTTGTGAGCAACTGGTTGACTATGCTGTCATGCACCCCCGTGCCATCATAGTATTAAGGGTATAGCAAGGGCAGGAGGAGAGAGGAAGAAGGGGCAGGAGGGAAGCGGAGGAGGGGGAGTGGCATGCACGTACCTTTGTGAGCAACTGATTGACTATGCTGTCATGCACCCCCGTGCCATCATAGTATTAAGGGTATAGCAAGGGCAGGAGGAGAGAGGAAGAAGGGGCAGGAGGGAAGCGGAGGAGGGGGAGTGGCATGCACGTACCTTTGTGAGCAACTGATTGACAATGCTGTCATGCACCCCCGTGCCATCACGGACAGACCCTCGACTCTGATGGGGAAGGCGAATGGGGAGAGGGCGAGTGCGAGAGAGGGGAAGAGGGAGGGAGGAGGGAGGGGAGCGGTTGGTTGACAATGCTGTCCTGCACCCCCGTGCCATCGCGTACAGACCCTCGACTCTGATGGGGGAAGGTGGAGAAAGGAGAGAGGGCGGATGAGAGAAGGTGAGACGGCAGGAGAGAGGGGTAGGTAGGTGAGAGAGGAGGTGAGACGGGAGGAGGGAGATATGAAGGAGGAAGTGGCGTATGCTATTGAAGAGGAGAGGAGGATAGGTGGGAGTGAGTGTGAGGAAATGTAGATTGGCCAGTGTGAGTGATGATGTGAGGGATGCTCCTATAACTATGAGGAAGCAAGCGGGAGCGACAATGAAGGCCCCATGATACCTTACAAGATCCTATCACGATAAGAACTCTCACCTTACAGATGGCGTCGATCTCATCAAAGATGACGATGTGCAGGTCACTCTCATCGCCATGCTCCTTCCGGGTCCTTCTCAGCTTCAACAACCAAGAACCAGAGACCTTTCATAAACAATCTCCTTCAATCCACCACGTCTCACCTTACAGATGGCATCGATCTCATCAAAGATGATGATATGCAGATCGCTCTCGTCCCCGTGCTCCTTCTGATCCTTCTCAGCATCCGCAAACAGGTCTCGGATGTTCTTCTCTGCTGCTCCCACGTACTTGTCCAGAATCTCAGGGCCGTTCACCACCTGGAGGGAGCATAGGAAACGGTGCAGAGTGGTGGAGTGGGGTTTACTGGAGTGAAAACAGGTCTTGGATGTTCTTCTCTGCTGCTCCCACGTACTTGTCCAGAATCTCAGGGCCGTTCACCACCTGGAGCGATGGAATAGGGAAAACGTAGGGCGCAAAAGTGGTTTAGAGCGGTGTAGAGTAGAGTGATAGAGAGTGGTGCAAAAAGGTCTCGGATGTTCTTCTCTGCTGCCCCCACGTACTTGTCCAGGATCTCAGGGCTGTTCACCACCTGGAGAGAGGGCACGAAGAGTGGTTTCAAGTGGTGTAGATGGGTGCAAGCAAACAGGTCCTGGATGTTCGTCTCTGCTGCCCCGACCTACTTGTGAAGGATTTCAGGTCCACTCACCATCTGGAGTGATTGTGTAGGGTTAACATAGGACACAGAACGTGGTGTAGAACGGTCTAGAGTGATAGGGAGTGGTGTGGACAAGTCGCGGATGTTTTTCTCCACTGCCCCATCAGCCAAGCCCAAGACGTCCATATTGCTTTTGAGACGTCTCAAAAGACACTCCCACCCTCCATCCCCACCACCCACCCCACCCACACCTTGGGTGTTCATAGGCGGATCCATGCCGTTGAGAAGCTTGCCTATCTGCAATGCGATCAGCGTCTTGCCCGTGCCGGTTTGGGGGAGAGGGGAGAGGAAGGAGGAGCATACACACACCAACAACCCCGAGAAGCACTAGTACCACCATACCTTAGGATCCATGCCGTTGAGAAGCTTGCCTATCTGCAACGCGATCAGCGTCTTGCCCGTGCCGGGTGGGGAGAGAGGGGAGAGGAAGGAGGAGCATACACACACCAACAACCCCGAGAAGCACTAGTACCACCATACCTTAGGATCCATGCCGTTGAGAAGCTTGCCTATCTGCTGTGCAATCAGCGTCTTGCCTGCCCATGCCGGAAGACCCACCCCAGAGCTCATCCGCTTGCCACACATGCAACCAGCAACAACAACACCAACCAGCCTCCAGCAACAGCAGAAACACCCACCTTAGGCTCCATGCTGTTCAGCAGCTTGCCTATCTGCCGTGCAATCAGCGTCTTGCCTGTGCCGGGGGGAAAGAGAGGAAGGGGAAGCAGAGAACACCCCCACCCAAGTGCTCCTCCGCTTGCCACACATGCAACCAGCAACAACAACACCAACCAGCCCCCAGCAACAGCAGAAGCAACCACCCCCACGAGATCCCCCCATACATTGGGCTCCATGCCGTTTAAAAGCTTGCCTATCTGCCACGCAATCAGCGTCTTGCCCGTGCCGGGGGCGGTGGGGAGAGGAGGAGAGCAGAGTCTCACCCAGCACCAGCAGCACAGCCCAGAAGCCCCACCCACCCAATCATCTACCCACACTCCATTCCCCCATACCTTGGGCTCCATGCCGTTCAGCAGCTTGCCTATCTGCCACGCAATCAGCGTCTTGCCCGTGCCGGGGGCGGTGGGGAGAGGAGGAGAGCAGAGTCTCACCCAGCACCAGCAGCACAGCCCAGAAGCCCCACCCACCCAATCATCTACCCACACTCCATTCCCCCATACCTTGGGCTCCATGCCGTTCAGCAGCTTGCCTATCTGCCGCGCAATCAGCGTCTTGCCCGTGCCGGGGGGCCCGTGCAGCAGCATGCCCTTCACATGCGTGATGCCCAGGCTGGGGGGGAATAGGGTAAGGGCAGTGGGAGAAAGAAGGAAACGACCAGGCTATCCGTGTCTTGCCCGTGCCAGGGGGGCCGTGCAGTAGCATGCCCTTCACGGGCAAGATGCCCTGGCTGGGTGGAGATGATAAGGGACGAGTTGGAAGGGGCAGGGGGGAAGAGGGGGGGGTTGGAGGCATGCCCAGGGGATCAGCACCTTGCCCGTGCCAGGTGGACCGTGCAGCAGCATGCCCTTAACGTGCGTGATGCCCAGGCTGGGGAGGGATGAAAAGGAAGCGGGGGAGAAGGGGGGGTAGGGGGAACACATTGTGAAACGATTCTAAGAAAGCCAAAATGAGACACCCACTGTATCAAAACGGCTCTCTTCCCTCACCGAGAGATGATGCGAAAGTCCATCTAGGGATGAGCAAGATCCCGAACGCCTGTTCGGTTCGCCTCGAACATGTTCGAGGCGAACCGAACAGGCCTTTTTTTTTTGGCCAATTTGTTCGGGCCGAACATGTTCGAAGTTCGGCCGAACATGTTCGACGTTCGGATTTGGATTTCGCCTCTCCAAGCCGAACACGAACATGTTCGTGTTCGGCTGGGCTTCGACGCGAACACCAAAAGTGTTCGCGTCAAAATTGGCCGCGACCAGATTTAGGTCGCGGCCAATTTTTGTTTGAGCTCATTTCGTGAGCTCAAACTCAGAAGTTGTTTAGGCTTGAGCGCTCCCTCACACAGCCGCCCTAGCCTCCTTGTTCTAGGTGCAAGCAAGTGCACGTTAATACTTGGAGTGTAAACGAACATTAGATTAGATAGAACTATGCTTAGGGTTTAACGTAGTATAGGGAGTTTAGGGTTACTATTAAGGTTCAGCGAGCATCTCCGCAAAGGGCTTTTGTAGGGCGTATCATTCGCCGTAGGATTCGGATCGGGCATTAGGAACGTGCGGCACCATCCAACGCTAACGTTGCCTTAGGGGGTTTTAGGGTTTAGGGTTGAGGGCGGAGTGATGGCGTCCAGGGGTGGTGGATCCATAGGCCGAGGTGCAGGCAGGGCTCAGGGCAGCGCACCGGGATCTCCACCACGACCTATGCAGGGGCGAGTAGGGGATGGACCGGGTGGAGCCGGCGCGATCTTCGTTGGGGGGTTGCTTACCGTACCGGCGCCGAGCTCTCGTCGCTCTTTCCGTTACGACGGCCCTCGGCCCCCTCCTTCGGGGCAGACGCCGACGCAGCCGGAGAGCGGCAGTGAGGAGGAGGATGAGGAGGAGGATGGTGAGGGCGAAAAGGAGGAGGACACTGAGGGGAGCGGGGATGACAGCGAGGCGGCGTGGGACCCAGAGACGCATGGCAGTGGGGAGGGGGGAGATGATGATGATGAAGACCACGAGATGGATGGGTTGGAGCCAGAGGGGCGGGAGGAGGAGGTGGGAGAGGGTGGTGGAAGGACGGCGACAGAGGCGGGATCACAGCATGTGCGTGAAGGGGGAGGGAGCGTGGGGGTTAAGGTGGGGGGGGGAAAGGCCGTGACCATTAGGGAGCCGAGGCAGAGGAAGAAAGCGAACAAGTTGAGAGAGCGGGCGTATCCCTGCACGTTCACTGGGGAGCCCTTGGGCGAGGGTGTGATCGCTCCCGAGTTCCTAAACGAGGACGGAGGGTCCGAGAGTAGTAAGGGGACTGGCAAGGGTAATAGGAGGCCGGGGTGGCAAGTTATGATGTTCGGACCGTTAGGGGCAGACGATAAGCGTCAGTGCAAGATTTGCACAGACAGGATTTCGTGGAAGCAATCCACAACAACCCCGGGCGAGCGGCACTTTGCGAGCTTCCACACTGCGCACATGCATGTGTGGCATCACCGTTACCACACCCCGTCCGTTCACTTGCCAGGGGAGACGTTTCCCCGAGGGGGCTACAAGGGAGTGCCGGATGGCTACGTCTATCAGTGGCCACATGCCAAGACTTGGCCGCACCTCGCCAAGGGGAAAGCGATGGCGACTGGTGGAGGTGATGGGTCAGGAGGGATCGAGCGGTGGATGACAGCCAAACTGACCTCGGTGCAGCTACGGCAGGCGATCACGAAGCTGGTGGTCACCTGCGACCTCCCCTTCCGCATCGTCGAGGCCGAGGCTGTAAGTGCCCCATCCCATCCCATGCTTGATTGGGCAAGTATGTGGTTAGTGGACGTGTCTGTCGCTTTGTCTTTTGACTGTTTGCGTGTGGCCCAGTGCAGTGCTATATTATTTTCATCCCATCCCCCTGACGTGTACTACCCTCTCCCCCCTTGTCTCTTCCCCTCTCCAGTTTCGTGAGCTACTCATCCTGTTGAACCGCAACTGCGCGCAGAAGAACTTCATCCCCTCGCGCTGGACGGTTTCCCGCGACACAGTGGTCTATGCGGCTGCCGCTCTTCAGTCAGCCATCGCGGAGATGCTAGCGAAGGAGGGGGAGCTGGGGTGTAGGGTGTCGTTCACCATCGACATGTGGACGTCGCCCAACAACAGGGCGTGGCTGGTGGTAACGGGTCACTGGATCGACGAGAATTACCAGCTGCGCACATTGGTGTTTGAATTCCGCGAGATTCACGGGCGGCACACGGGCAAGCAGATGGCGAGGGTGGTTGAGGAGACCGTGGTGCAGTGGGGGTTGGAGACGCGTTGTCTTGGGTTCACCTCAGACAACGCCTCCAGCAACACTGCCGCTTTCAGGTGGATGTCGGAGGAGGGTGGTGGCCAGTGCTTCTTCAACTCGCGCATGCACTTCCGGTACGAAAGGGAGTGTTCCTGTGATGTGAACATGTTGTGGTTGTAGTACGGGCGGGTGGGCCTAGGCGGCTTGAGAGTGGTAGTGTATCTCGGATCTATGCCAATGTGTACTCACACTTCCCTTTCTCTCCGCCATGAATGTTTTGTGATGTGCGCAGATGCCTGGCACACGTGATCAACCTTGCAGTGAAGGCAGCACTCGCTGTGACCGCCATCCGCAAGTTGCTGAAGATTCTGAGAGAGATGGCGTCGTGGATAGGATACTCGCCGCAGCGCTCGGGGAAGTTCTTGGGCCTTCAACGGACTCTGAACGCGCAGGGCAACCCCGCCAAACCGAAGCCAGCGTTGAAGCTGGTGCAGGACAGTCCCACACGCTGGGGGTCGACCCACGACATGGTCGAGCGAGCCGGGGTTCTGCAGGAACCCATCTCTGTCTTCTTTGCCCAGACACAGGTGTGTGTGTGTGCCAGGTGTGGTGTATGCTGTTTTATGTGTTGGTATGTCGGTCGGGGTGTTTTTTTCTGGGACTTGCACCACTGTTGGCCATGCTTGACTAAACTTTTCGGACCTCCAACAACCTCAACCACCCCAGTTTCCATCCTATCACCCGCCCACCCATACGTTCTACCCGACAGGGCGTGTCGAAGGCTGACAAGGCGAAGATGGACACCTTGCGCCTGACGGACGCAGACTGGGAGACTCTGCATTCTGTCAAGACCTTCCTCAGCCCATTCGCCAAAGTCTCCAAGGCCGCAGAGGGAGCAGCGTACCCTACAGTGTCGATGGTCCTGCCGTACTACAACGGCCTGATCGACGCTATGGAGTCGCGCCTTGCCAAGGGGCCATCGGCTACGCTGAAGCCGATGATTGAGGCGGCGCTGGGTCTCTTGAAGAAGTATGAGTTGATGTCAAGCAACGAGTTGTGGATCGCCACCTTCCTGGACCCTTCCATGAAGGCGGCGTGGTTCGACGACTCGCACTGGGAGACGCTGCATCCCGACACAGAGCGGAGGACGAGGCCTCGTCCCTCGTCAGGCGAGGTGATCCAGCTGGTTCGCGAACGCGTGGCCGAGTACCAGGCCCGGGCTGCAGCGATTGCCCCTCAGCCGACCCCACTTGCCCCAGTGACGGAGGAGGAGGAGGGAGACGCGGCGGATGACGACGAAGACGCCGAGTTTCTCCCTAGTCGCCGACGCCTTGCGGCGCGTCTGTCGGCGAGCCAGGAGGCGGGGAGGGGTGGGATGGTGCAGGATGACGAGGTTGGCAGGTACTTATCAGAGAGGGTGCGGTGCGACGTGTCAGCGTTGGAGTATTGGCGCAGCGCCACCAACATGCAGACGCTGAGGCGCATGGCCCGGGATTATCTTGCCATCCCTGCCACGTCCGCGTCGAGCGAGCGCGTGTTCTCCCTCGGCCGCAACCTCATATCCTGGAAGCGGCACCGCCTAGCCTCTCAGAGGACGCGAGCTTCAATGATTCTCAGATCATGGTACACCTCACACCCTGGACAGAGGATAGGCGAGGGCCGCCGTGCCAAAGGCGAGGCACCACCAGAGTTCGCCATTGAAGGCGAGGGGGAGGAGGAGGACGACGAGTGGGAGGAGGAGGAGGGGGAGGAGGAGCAGGTGGGGGTGGGTGCTGGCGACACCTCAGACGCGGAGCATGCTGTTGTTGGTAGTAGCAGTGGTGTGCAGGCGTAGGAAGTAATTTGGCAGTGACTTGACTTTTATATAGGCACTACATGATGGTGTCGTATGCTAGTGTGCATTGCATGATTATATACACACCCTCCACCCCCCTATCTATCTTCCCAACCCTCCAGGTTCCGTGTTTCTCTATTGTGACTATAATGAAAGTGGCCAAGGGCGAACTCGAACATGTTCGGTTCGAACATGTTCGAGTTCGCCCACACATAACAAATGTTCGCCCCCAAGGGCGAACGGCGAACACCTCCTGAACCCTAAGTTGTTCGCCGAACCGAACTGTGTTCGGTTCGGGAAAAGTTGATGTTCGAGCGAACTCGGACCCAGACGTGTTCGAGTTCGCCATTTGCTCATCCCTAAGTCCATCTAACAATGGCAATACACACCGGGAGATGATGTGGGGTGGAAAGACACGGGAGGCGAAGGCTCAGTGAAAAATGTCAGCCAACTGTGCCTTTTCTTAGAATTCTCAAAACCCATTGTGAGATAAAAGCAAAATACTCACCGCGAGATGATGTGCGGTGGGAAGACGCGGGAGGCGAAGGCTCGGCGGAAGATATCAGCAAACTGGGCATCAAGACCTCCGATGCCAAGCTTCTCAAAGTTGAAGTCCTTCTGCTTGAATAGCGCCGCTGCCTTGCCGCCCCCTGTCCTCTGATTCACCACCTGATGAGAGGGGGGAAGGGGAAGAGGAGAGGGTGGAGCACGGACAAGGCAAGGCGCAGGAGAAAGTGAGAAAGGGAGGAGAAGAGAGGGGAAAAGGGAGTCCGGGATCGGAAAATATCGGCAAACTGGGCATTGAGACCTCCAACGCCGAGCTTCTCAAAGTTGAAGTCTTTCTGCTTGAATAGCGATGCTGCTTTGGCACCCCCTGCCCTCTGATTCACCACCTGATGAGAAGGGGGGGGAGGGGAGGAGGGGAAAGGGAAGGAGGGAAAAAAAAAAAAACAAAAACAAAAACAAAAAAAAGGAGGGAGGGAGGGGCACGTTTAAGGCAAGACGCAGGAGAAAGAGAGAGGGAGAGAAACAGAGAGAGGGGGAGCACGGCATGGGATGGGAAGACATGGATGGCTTTTGAGGCGCCTCAAAAGACGGCATGGGATGGGAAGACATGGATGGGAAAACTGGGCGTCGTTCCCTCCAATGCCGAGCTTCTCTAAGTTGAAGTCCTTCTGCTTGAACAGTAGTAGTGATTGGCAGTAGCGATTTGGCACCTGGGGGGGGGGAAGGGGAAGGGGAGGGGTACGGGCAAGGCAAGACACAGGAGGGTCAGGGGTCACAACAGGGGTCTGCTGCCTGCTGCCCCTCAGGCGACGGGAACTCCATGAGGAGCACGGAGAGGGCGGAGCTGGTTGGTTGGTTGGTGACTTTTGAGTCGACTCAAAAGATTCCGCTCAGGCGCGGGAACTCCACGAGGAGCACGGAGAGGGCGGAGCTGGTTGGTTGGTTGGTGACTTTTGAGTCGACTCAAAAGATTCCGCTCAGGCGACGGGAACTCCGCGAGGAGCACGGAGAGGGCGGAGCTGGTTGGTTGGTTGGTGACTTTTGAGTCGACTCAAAAGATTCCGCTCAGGCGACGGGAACTCCACGAGGAGCACGGAGAGGGCGGAGCTGGTTGGTTGGTTGGTGCTGCGGCTGGTAGAGCAACGAATAGAGCTAGAGCTAGAGCTAGAGCTAGCGCTAGCGCTTGTAGATAGAATCTTGAGCCGACCCAGAAAAGAACCCACCATGATGCCTGAGCCAGCAGCAGCTTCATAAAATAAACAATGTTGCTTCACCAGCAGCCCTCTCGTGGACGCAAACGCACACACACCCTGCTGTCCCTCCTGCATTGTTCTGGCTTTTGAGTCGACCTAGAAAAGAACCCACCTTGATACCTGAGCCAGCAGCAGCTTCATAAAATAAACCATGTTGCTTCACCAGCAGCCCTCTCGTGGACGCAAACGCACACACACCCTGCTGTCCCTCCTGCGTTGTTCTGGCTTTTGAGTCGACCTAGAAAAGAACCCACCTTGATACCTGAGCCAGCAGCAGCTTCATAAAATAAACCATGTTGCTTCACCAGCAGCCCTCTCGTGGACGCAAACGCACACACACCCTGCTGTCCCTCCTGCAGTGTTCTTCTGGCTATTGAGTCAACCCCAAACAGAACCCACCTTGATGCCTGAGCCAGCAGCAGCTTCATAGATGATCCCTGTCTGCTTCACCAGCAGCCCTCGCGTGGAGGTAAACGCCCGTGCGCCCTCCTGCCCCTCAGGAGGTGGGAACTCCACGAGAATGACAGTGAGGGCGAAGTTGGTCCCACGGAACTCAAAGGAGATCTTCTGAGACGTCTCAAAGATCTTCTACCCCTCTGCCGCACTTTCAGCACTTGCACAGACTCTTGAGCCAACCCCAAACAGAACCCACCTTGATGCCTGAGCCAGCAGCAGCTTCATAGATGATCCCTGTCTGCTTCACCAGCAGCCCTCGCGTGGAGGTAAACGCCCGTGCGCCCTCCTGCCCCTCAGGCGCTGGGAACTCCACGAGAATGACAGTGAGGGCGAAGTTGGTGCCGCGGAACTCAAAGGAGACCTTCTGCCCCACTGTCAGCACCTGCCCTGCAAAGCGCTTCAGCACGTCCTTTGATAGCTCTGCTGCGTCCAGCTGTGTGGGAAGCGGCGAGCGGGAAAGGGGAGTGGGGGAGAGGAGGAGCGGAACAGAAAAACAGAGAAAGGAGAGGAGAGGAGCGCAGGGTAGACAGTCGATTTCACACGGTTCAATCTGCACGAGAATGATGGTGAGGGCGAAGTTGGTGCCGTGGAACTCAAAGGATATCGTCTGCCCCACCGTCAGCACCTGCCCTGCAAAGCGCTTCAGCACGTCCTTTGTTAGCTCTGCTGCGTCCAGCTGTGCGGGAGGGAGGCAGGGGATGGGGAGAGAAGAGAAGAGGGCGACATGAGTTAGGGGAATGAGGGCAATATGATTGAAAGGAGACCTTCTGCCCCACTGTCAGCACCTGCCCTGTAAAGGGCTCCAGCACGACTTATGATAGCTCTGCTGCATCTAGCTGTGCGAAAGGAGAGAGGAGGTAGAGGAAGAGGGGGAGGAGGGCAATGTCAGTAACGAGGATGAGAGGAACCCAGAAGGAGATCTTCTTCCCTTCAGCACGTCCTTTGATAGCTCTGCTGCGCCCAGCTGTGAGGGAGGGAGGTAGAGGGCGGGGAACCTAGAAGAGTGGAGAGGAGAGGAGAGGAGAGCAGGGAGACAAGGCTTATGCTGTCAGGACTTTCGGAGGTTACACACGAGTGCAGAGCAGAGCGGAGAAAAGAGAAGACAAGATGTCCTCATTCATATCCCTCACCTGCTCGGCTCTGGATCAGCCCTTGGAGTGGAAGTCGATTTCCAGAGTGATCGTCTGCAGCTCAAAATTGATTGGCGGGGGACGAATCCTCTTAGCATGTACTCTCACTCACCTGCTATGCTCGCCCCTCAGTCATCTCGAAACCCTCACCTGCTCGGCTCTGGCTCGGCCCTTGGAGTGGAAGTCAATCTCCAGCGTGGTGGTCTGTAGCTCAAAGTTCATTGGTGGGGGAACGAACCTGGTTTGATGAGGGGGAAATGGGGACCGGAGAGGAAAGGCAGAGGAGAGAAGAGCGAGGGAGAGGAGAGAGAACAGGAGGATCGGGAGGGAGAGGTGAACACAGGGAGAAAACATCGCCAAGATTGTGACCGCATCCAATACACAAATAAACTGCACCCTGCCTTCCCCCCTCCTTTCTCTCCTACCTCCCCACAGGCACCCTGTCCTCCCCCCTTTCCCCCACAGGCACCCTCTCTCCCTCCCCCCTTTCCCCCACAGGCACCCTCTCTCCCTCCCCCCTTTCCCCCACAGGCACCCTCTCTCCCTCCCCCCTTTCCCCCATAGGCACCCTCTCTCCCTCCCCCCTTTCCCCCACAGCTCCCCTACCTCCCCAAAAGCACCCAATTGCCCGCAGACACCCGCGCGTTGCCGCGCTGTACGATGCTGAGCGCCACTGCCCCCACCAGGCCACTCCCCCTGACCTCCCATCCCAGCCATCTACTCCACCAACCTACCCGCAGCCACCCTGTCGCTCCCCCCGGTCGCTATCGCCACCACCCACCTCCCCACCGGCACCCGGTCGCCCGCAGAGACGCGCGCGTTGCGGCGCTGCACCGCGTTGAGCGCCACGGCCCCCACCTCCACGCCTTCGTGCGCTGTGATTGGTCGGAATCCGCCGCCATGAACCGATGATTGGACAGGAAAAAGCGCGACGAAGGCACGCCGCCGCAATACAGAGGGGGTCGAAGTTAAGGGTAACTTGAACAAGGAGAGAGGAGACGAGGGTAGTGCAAAGGGGGGAGCTTGGGGTAACAAGGCTGGGGGGGAGCAAGGGAGCGGAGTCTAGGCATGGATAGGACACCACACACTGGAACGGAGGCAGGAACGAAGGTACGAAAGTTTGAGTCGAGCCTGATAAGAACTGAAGGATACAGAGGATACGAGAAGGAGTGCGGAAAGACAGACCATGCGAAGAGACGGGTTAAGACGAGACGGAACTAGACTAAGATTGTGACGGGAGGGACGCGGTTGAGAGGATATGCAACGGTGAGGATATTTCCTCCGATCTCGATGAATCCGTGCGGGCTCCCTTGGAACGCTGCGAAGCAAGGCAGCTCCGTTCGCGAAAGAAATGCGAAGTTCGTCAACGCGAGATCTGGCGACGGACAGTTGACGACTTTTAGACTCTCGGGGACCGCTGCAGCAGCCATAGGTGCTCGCGCGCCGTACGCTGCCGGCTTTCCCACTGGCGCCACGGACGCGCCGCCTCTAGACCACATGGCGGCTAAGCGTCGATCCCCTAAGACACGTCGCTTGGAGCAACACAAGTGATTAGCAAACTACTGAAGCTTGGGAGCGAGGAATCAGGAAGAATCACTCACCATTCTGACAATCAAACTTCGAGGAATTGCTTATGTTTGCCTCGTTACGGGATTTCGAATCTGAGCTTGGGGATCAGGAAGGGGTACCGAGAGGTGTAGATGTGCTCAGAGTGAATGTGTGTGGTAGATGGTGGTAACGATGATTTTCGGTTTCAAACACAACTGTTGTAATGAATGTGAATTCATTACTGTAGAGGCTACTCCTAGCGAGGACAGCCCGAACTGTTTGCGTCAATTTGGGTTCGGCCTACACTTCGGCCCGAACCACTTCCGAGTCGCCCCGCACCAATCGCGACACTTCCAAACCATCCATGTCCCGAGGTCCTCGCCTACCACGGTTTCGACCCTACAAATGCTTGCTTCTTTATCATTCTCGTCATTCTGTAGTTCTCGTCCTTTTTATAAAGTATTCCGCGCACTCTTCTTAGTACAACTCATAACACTTGGTATCAAAGCCTAAGTTCCTAGGTTCCCCTTTTTTTTAGAGTGTATTAGCTCTCCGGGGGGGGGGGGGGGGGCAGGGAAGGATGCCGTGATGACAGGAGCAGCGCAATAGCCGGCCAGGAGAACAGATAGTTGCTCCTAGCGGCCATGTTTTTACGGGCGCTCCTGCTGCACCGACGGATCCTTGCCCTCGACGGTCGAGATGGACCGTGGCTTCCCTCCCCCCGGGTGGCGGACAGCTTTTGCTGTCGGCGCATTTAATTGCGGAGTAAATTTCGTCGTTTCTGTTAATCTAGGCGTTGTTTTTATGCGGTAGTTGGCGTCAAGACGGTTGTCGTCACTGCATGCGCTAGATTGTCGGAGCAGCTGGTCGTGCTAGTTGAAGATTTCACGTGGTCGTCAACTGCGCACGAAGAAATCGGAGTTAATACGTGCGGCAAGTGGCGCCGGGCGTTATCGTCACGTTGCGCACGAGAAAATCGGAGGTCTTCGGCAAGTAACATGCGGCGTCACTGTGCGCGAAGATTTCGGGTGGCTTCACGGCAGAAATGACAGCTGGCGGCCAGGCATATGGTGATTTGCGTCGGAAAATGAAACGAGAGACGGCGTGGCGACCGCCCCAAGAAAGCGGGGGTCTACCGTCGTCCCGCCCGGGTGTGGCCGGTGTGGCTGCAGGAGGGTGCGTCGTTGGCGTTTTCGGCAGAGCGGCACAGTGTGAGACGGAAGTTGTTTTTCAATCCACCGAAAAGTTCTGAAAAACCGCCTACGACTAGACTGCCTATCGCTAGGGTCACTGCTGTACCTGCACTACGATCGGCAAAATTTTCGGAGCAACAGCAACGGCCGACATTTAAGCTTCAGGCGGCACGGCACCCCCTGATCAAGGGTAGTTGCGCCGCAAACAAGATAGTACACCAACGGGGCAACGATTCGGCGCAATGTTTAGACCCACGATTTTCGGGGGTTCTACCGGCTACAATACACGGAGAAAGTCAAGTTCGGGTCCAGTGAGAGAAACGGGTTTCGAGCTTCAGGAGGCGAGAATTACGACCCACGGGGAACCGCTCAAACTGATGCCTAAACGTTTGCGGCTAAGCGGCGGTAGCCGGACGGGTACACTACCGGCCGAGGTTTCCGAACGTTTCACACACCTCACGCCCAGAAGGCCTCGAAGGCAAAGTGAGTCCTATTGGCCACTGGATCAAAACGTGGGGCCCTGTGTTTAGCTCTGTGCTGGCTAAAAAGCGCGGGTATTATGCCAGTTCGACACCTGGGCGTACAAGAAATTTTCTGGGAGCGACACTGTTTCGGCCCCGACAAAACCGGACCATCGGCAGCAATTACCCCGCCGAAAAAGTCGCAACTGAAGCAGTTGGTGCAGCTGTCGGAGTTTCTCCTGATTCAACGGTCTACCCGACGGCGGTGTAGCGGCGAGAAGGATTTCCGAAGTTGAGGAGTTTTAAACGCGATAGACGCAGTGGGCAGCGAAGCGGCCGGTCCGACTGTTTGATCCGATAAACATGACCCGGCTACGATACCGTTCGCGCCTTCACCGAATGTCAGAAAAATCGCGGGCAACAAGGAGTTATACCTCATCCGACAAAAGCGAACGCTGGGTGAATGGCGGCAAGCAAAATTGTCGGGGGGTGAAGACACAACACAAATGGAGGGAAATTTGTGGGTGCTCCAGCAGATCTCCAGAGTGAAAGGTTGAGCCCGTACACCAATCCACCGCGAATTTCAGAGTCTATTCGGTAGACCCCCGAAAGGGTTTGATATTGTAACATGGAGGCGCGGCGAGCGGTGTGTCGCCAAGGATACCTGGGATTTGAGAAAGTACGAACGAGAAGTGGATGACTATGAAATGAAGTGGGTACAAATAGGAAACCCTAATTGGGTTGTACCCCCTATGGGATACCCCACTATAGCCTACAGAAACAAGTAAGCTATATGTTCTGACACACCCCCATAGGCAAAGTGGGGGAGAACAAGAGGTCACAAGACCAGTCAAGCAAAGCAAAGCAAAGCTCAGGGTGGATCACAAAGTCACCACGCATTCCGAGCACAAGTTCAAAGGCCAGAAGGCCAGTTTACATGCAAGATCATATATAGAGATATACAAGAATCAAGCAAGCAAGAGCAAGAGTATATATAGGCGAAGGTACAAGCAAGGTCAAGAGGAGAGCAAGTGAGGCAAGACAGCCACAAGACCCAACTGCGTGCAGCAACGCTGATGATCACAAGGCGCAAGTGCCTTGGTGAACACATCAGCAGTGTTGGCCTCAGAGGCCACGTACGCAAGTCGCAGCTGTCCACGCTGCTGTAGCTCACGAGCAAGAAAGTAGCGGAGAGCAATGTGCTTCGTTCTGTGCTCCAGTCGCTGCTCTCGACACAAGGCCAGCATGGCCTTGTTGTCTACGTACAGGACTGGAGGAGAACGAGGCTGCTCTCCAAGGTCGGTCAGCAGGTAGGTGAGCCAGCGTAACTCCTGTGCAGCCATAGCCCCAGCGTAGATCTCAGCCTCACAACTGGAGCCGAGAACAGAAGACGAGCGGGTAGCCCGCCACGAGACAGAGCCGGAACCTAGGCTGAAGGTGTAACCCTGTGACGACCGCTGCGTAGCCTGGTCGTCAGCCCAAGAAGCGTCTGCGTGCCCAGTGAGGACCACTGGACTGCGCCCTCCAAGCACTAGCCCCATGCCCGACGTACTGCACAAGTAGCGCAACACCCTCTTCGCTGCAGCCATGTGCTCTGGTCGGTGTCTCCCAGGAGCAACAAAGCGTGCGAGAATGCTAAGAGGGTATGCGAGGTCAGGTCGTGTGCAGGTCATCAGGTACATGAGGCAGCCAACAAGCTCTGGGTACGGGCCACTCGACTCTACGGACTCATCCGAAGGCAGAGCTGAGAGCGAGTGGCGAGTAGGCAGAGGAGTGGCCTGAGGCGAGGAGTACGTGAAGCCGAAGCGCTGAAGGACCTGCTGCACCATGTGTGACTGAGTCAGGGTAATGGTGCGGCGTGCTCTGTCCCGGGTGATCTGCAAGCCAAGGTAGCTGCGCAGTTCACCCAGGTCAGTGCACGTGTGTCTCTTCTGCAGCTCGGACTTCACGTAGGCGAGTCCAGCAGTGTCAGCTGTGGCAAAGACCAAGTCGTCGACGTACACGAGTATGTAGAACGGCGGCAGAGAGGTGTCGGTGCGAAGAAACAGCGACGGGTCGGCAGTAGAAGGAGCAAACCCAAGTGCCGCGAGCGTAGTCCTCAGTGTGTCGTGCCACTCACGTGGCGCCTGGCGGAGACCGTAGACTGGACGCCGGAGACTCCACTGGGTACCAGGAGGGAAAGACCCAGTGAAGCCAGGTGGGCGACGTAGCCAGATCTCCTCGTGCAGGCTGCCCTGCAAGAAAGCAGTGCTGAAGTCAAGAGAGTGCAGCTCGTAGTCACGGTGAGCAGCAACGTGCAGCAGAACCCGAAGAGTGGTCATCTTCGGGGTGGGGGAGAAGGTCTGAAAGTAGTCAACCCCCTGCCGCTGACTGAAGCCACGAGCCACGTAACGCGCCTTGAAGACAGGCGGAGAACCCGGCGGCCGCTTCACCCTGAAAATCCACATGCCACTGACGATGTTCGCCCCAGGAGGGGGAACAGCGTCAACGTAGGTGCCTGTGGACTTCCAGGAAGCCATCTCTGCATCCATAGCTGCCTGCCACTGAGAGGAGTAGGGACCCTCTATCGCCTCCGCGTAAGAGCGCGGAGTCGGGATGTCTGGTGCATCCGGGTCTCCCTCAGGGGCTAGCAGTACAGATGCAAGACGAGGTGAAGCAGCGGCTAGACACTGGAACTCCTCCTGCCTGTCCTCAAGGACGTCCGTGCCAAGGGCACACTCACCCCCGACGGACGGAGGACAGGCGGACTCAGACTCAGTGACAAGACGAGCAGCGTAGTCTAGACGACAGCGCGCAGCAAAGTCGACAAGCTCAGTGACAAGGGCAGACGCAGCAGACGACTCGAAGGAAGGGTCAGTGAGAGCAGTAGCAAGGAGACGCGTGACAGTAGGACTGGCAGCGCGAAGAGAGTCCGACTCAGGGTCGGCAAGAGCAGGAAGAGAGGAAGCAGGAGGAGAAGGCAAAGGGGCACGCAGAGGAGCAGTGGACAGACGCAGTGACATCCGGTGCGTGCCAGGGACAGGAGGAGGACGCTGACGCGAACCACGACCACTAGCGCGCTCAGTACGAACAGGCGACGCAGGACGAGACGCAGGCTCACGACGCTCAGAAAGACCTCCTGTCGGACCAGCGTAGGGAGAAGGAGCAGGCAAAGGGGAGGCAGGCTGTAGCTGTGGCTGTGACCGAACAGGCTGTGGACCCTCTAAGGGAGCAGGAGGAGGTGCAAGACCAAGAACCTGCTGCAGGAGCAGAACGAAGTACGGTCGGGGCCGCGCAGCGACACCAGAAATAGCAGGA